TCCGTAAGCCGTTGACATTTTTCCGCTCGTTAAAAGAACTGTCGTGTGTGTACGAAAATGTGGAGATACTTTCACGGATGTATTTCAGGTAATGTGCTGTTTTCTAAGATTTATCGTTAACCGCATCGCAACTTTAACCGCACCAAATGATCGCGGCGGAATAATCCAAATATTCCTCGGCTGGAAAATCTAAGGGTTTATTTTGGAGAGGCGGAAATGACTATTTTATTTTTCCACCTCGTTATTTCTGCAGCTGAGAAGCGGTAATTGAATTTCCATTCATTTTCCCTGAAAGCACAATCCGCATTCTTCGTTTTTTCTTTCAGTTTTCACTGGGAGTATACCACACCAACGTGAACTGTTTCCCTCGTGAAACTAATTGTTGGGCGTAATGGCGTTTTAATTAACACAGCCGTAATACTTGTACGTGTTTGCTTATCTAAAGTAATCGTAAATCCCAATTCTTTCAATCGGTGTCCCTAAGCGGATTTCATGATGACGTATCGTGCGTGAGCCCGAAGGTCCAATTATTTCCCAGAGCTCGTTCCACCCTTTGCGATACATTTATTTTATATAAATACAGATCCGTACAGTAAACTAAAGAATTTAAGTAGATAGAGGACATATCGGCTTCTTATTCGAGGGTCGTCGAAACGTAATGGCGAACAGTGAATTAGGGTACAACGAGCTGCAAATAATATTCGAGGAGGTCTCATTCATATTCGACTCCAGAGCGAGAATTGTCAAAGGGGCCCAAAACGAGATTACCATCAGGCCTTTCATGCTTTATCCGATGTCTTTTCACGCAGACTCCACTGCGAACGAATGCACTTCCTTTATACGATCGGCGTACATGCACTCGCACTATTTCACCCATTTCGCTCGGGGTTCCATTCAATCTCTGGGCAATTGTTGATACAAGGTCGGCTTCCGTGAATTCTAATTCACATTTCGATTCGCCCCGAGGAAAAAAAAAAATCAACCCGGAAATCACCGAATTGCACTTGCGGTACTCACTTTCGCGGAGTTTAATTAATCCGGAAGCACTTAGAGACGCGATCGCGTTTCGGTACGGACAATGGAGTCGAACGAGGGATTATACACAGTTCTAAAAAATTGGAGATCTTTGACACAATTTCGAGAAAAAGTTTACTCGATTTGGAAAGTCGAGTCAAGAGTGCGCCACTCGCCAACGCGCGCCCGATCGTAATCAGGGGCGCGCGTCGTTATCGGCACGATGACGAGTGTCTTTTCGCGACGGTCCAATCAAGATTTTAAGATGTCCTTAAAGCGATGATCGACGAGGTCGTTTCCAAAAGCATGAAACACAGAACGGTGCCACGCGTCATCGCGTGCAACGTAACGATCGGCCGATAACTCGTTATCGGCGGCACCACTCCTTAACGGGCGGTCTTGGCGATACAATTGAGAATATCGTCTAAATGCCAGCGTCTCGACGGCTCATGACCCCAGAAGAGCAAGCTGGACGGTAATCGGTGGAGTCATGTAGCATGGTGTTGAAAAACAAGCGATGTCCACCGGTAACGGAGATAAGCGACCGCGCCGAGCCCCGCGGTCGATCGTAAAGCCATAAAGCAGCGAATCGGCAAGGAAGGCATTTAACCTGCAGGCTAATGGAGCAGTCGATTTAGCTGGCATTTCAGCGAACAAAGCGGAATAAGTCATGCGAGACACCGTGGTCCGATAGAGCGAAAACGAACAGGGAATAGGGGGTGCGCGCCGAGGATACGTGCGAGCGGCCAAGTCGGGGAAAATGGCTGGTAGTCCTGGTAAATGGATCAAAGTATCGACGCGTGCCTTCAAACTCGCGCGAGTCTGCCTTCTCTCGGGGGAAAGCAGGGGAAACCGCCGCGGATTCGCCGCGGACTCTCGTTAGCGAGCTACGCGACGAATCGGTGACGGACGACGCGATATCGGCGCGGAAATTGTGTCCTGTCGATGTTCGCAACGGATAACGCTGGAAAGTTTGGTTAGGTGCGCCTCCTCCGGGAGAGCGAGCTCGAGTCGACGCCGGACGTGGCGCGACCTTTACGGGGCGACTGGCAGGCCGATACTGAGCCCTTGAAAGTTCGCTCGTTACTTCGCGACGGGTCCGCGCTTCCGGGACGTACGTGCACGGCCGAGCACCCGCGGACTTTGGTCCACGCGGCGGGCGTCATCGTCTGAAAAAGTTCTTGAGTTTAATTTAGCACGTTCCTCGCGCCGAGACGGGCCGAGAAATTACCTCGCTCCGTCCGCGCCATATTTCGTGCATGGAAAGAACGCCCCGGCGAGTCGGAAACGCCCGACGGTCGTAATTAAAAATCGTATGTCATCACCGGGAGAGCGTGCGACAAAGCTTACAAAGCTAATGACGGCGTAATGGTAGTATCAAGGCGTCTCCTTCTCGCCTCTGGTAGGAGCGACAGTAATTAAAACCCTGCGACCTCCTGCGTCTCTCGAACGAATCTCATCGCGCTGTTTTGCATGACAATGTACGTCACGCGCCGCTCCGTCGGCCTTTCCGGCCGTTCGATGTCAACCGTCGAGAGCGACGACATGGCCAAACGGGTTTTCAATTTATTACGATCGTTAGACCGGAGATTTGCGACCCGGCCATTTAGCGCTCGACCGAAGCCCTCGATTCGGATACGCGAGTCATTTTTTAAGTTCACCGCCTTGCGGAATCCGCTCGATTTACTCCGCGACTCGAAGTCGAAGACTTCCAGGTTCGTCCTTCGGCCCTCATCCTTCCACTCGTCCTCCAGTAAAAATCCGTTCGATGATCGGGGCGTCTCGATCTTCCGCGAGGTCGCTCGAATTTCTAGCTGCGTAGGATGCATGCAAACGTGACGGAATTGCGCTTTTTTATGAGGTTAGCCCCGAAACCGCGATCGGCGGCCCGGAGGCCTTCGGCTCGGCCTAAATGCTCGAGGAGCATAGTAATAGGTGGCCATAATCTGGCCGATAAGCATCGTCAATTGACGTCGGGCAGAATCGTTGAGTTCGCAGGCCTCGAGGGTGGTGCAACCAGGTGAGGTCGATTGCGCCATCTTGGATCGGTGGAAGTCGGCGGAACACACCGTGCGTAAGCCAGTGGCGGAAACGTGAGAAGAGAGTCGTGACGGAATGAAAACCCCTGTAATCGAGGAGGATTTGATCTTCCCACGGAGCAGTGAAAGTGAGTTCTGCCGAGATTAGTTCACGTGTCGGCCATCGCGTTTGCCTTTGCTTTTGCTTTTGTGCAGCCTCCGCTACATCCTCGTTCGAACGGCCCCGTCTTCAAGGTAACCCATTGTTTCGTTGGAATTGAACCGTTGCAACCTACTGAATGATAACTATTAGTCGTTGTCTTTAAAGGTCGTGAGAGGTTGGATATCTGGCAATGAAATGCCCCCGGCAGGTTTCGGGTCACGGGGTGAGTCACTCCTAATGGTGAGAAATTTTCGTCACCCGGAGAGTCCTTGAGTCGCGCCCTGTCCGCCATTTTTTCTTTGGTCTCTCGGACACGGCTGCGATTAATAAGCAGGAACCGTGCAAAGTATACCACCGCGGCTGCAAAACTTCGCCGGGGAACTTCGCCTCTGTGCGGTGGTGCTTCGCAGTTAATTTGGGTCTGCGAATTACGATTCTTAATTCAGACGGTAAATAAGAGCAAAAACACCCGCCGCGGCTGATGTTAATTTCAGATGCAGTCGCCGCCACCCTTCCCACCTTCGTTCGACTTGTGACCGTTTCGTTACGTGATTTAAATTTCAAATACTTTACCGCGCGATTTTTCGCCAAATCCATTTATGGCTGCGATCGCCCTTTGGCGCTTTTGCGCCAACGTGGCCGCGTGCGACGGGGCTTTTCGGATTTAATTTAAAATGCAGAAACTTACGTCTATCTCGTTTACCTCGGCTTTTCGTAAACGAATTGTCACGTGTCTCTGCCGCGTCCTTTCCGCATTTGGCGAGAAAATCTCGAGAGACGAGGCACTCGCGGCTCGAGATTAGACATTCTTTCGAGGATCCTCGGGTTGCAAGAGATGCATTTCATGGTCCGAGCTGCGGAGAGATCCTTTTACGCGGAGGAAAAGTGTCCGTTCGTTAGCGGATTTGCAGGGAGAAAATTCTCGAGGAAATTTTGAACCGTGATGAGGTCGTAATCAAAACCGCCCGCCCGAAAAGGCAAAGAGGTGTACCGCACTTATACAACAATTATTGCACCCAGTGCCACTGCCGTTCGTTACGGCCACAGTCGGCAACCTTTATCGTTCGCTAATGAATTTAAACGACTTCGGCGTCGCATACCTCTTTTGATTAGCTAAGCATAAGGTTTATGAACATAAAGCCTGGAATCATCTACCACGTCGGCTCACGGTGAGACGCCAAGTATCCTTAATTATAGCATATAGTCGCCAGGACTTTTCTCTCTTACCGTTTTCTCACGGCTAATGCAAAAACCGTCGTTTTACGAGCTTTACAACAGATTGCATCGTCCTTTTTTTGATTTAATTTCCCAGTTTAGTACCGTACATTAGGCATGTACACGTGATAAAGTAACCCCGGTGGATGGAGTAACCTCGGACAAGAAACGATGCTCGCTAAAATGCCACCGTAATGGTATTATACAATGACATGTCGTACGTTAGGGCCATTGAGACGGTCCTGCGAGTACCTTGTAACCAAATGACTTTTAAAAGTTCACTAAGTAGCAACTCGCGAGACCGTTGAATCGTTGATTAACTTTTATAGCCCATGTTATTAGGAGTGAATTATGACAATTAACGTAATTGTAATAGTTATGTAAATGAACGATTTACCGACTAGATGATTTCTTGCGACCCTCTCACACCGTGGCCGGGTGTAAAAGTTTTCTTTGCGTGCGAGTTTCTCCCGATTGATTTACGAGAGACAGCCGGTGCTTTACCGATAGGTAAAAGTTGGGCCATAATACTTATCGGCTTTTCAATACAGTTATTCCTTACGTTTATTTTTAAGCTTTCGGAATTCCGGTATAAACACTGCTGATATACGCGATAACGTAGTTCGGTCATGCATAGAATGGATATTTTGGTGAGATTATTTTTTCTTCAAAGATGCTTAACTATGCGATGGCCCTAATCGGTTGTAATCTCTATCGTAGATACTCGTTATAAATACGGAACGTCTCTTTGATATACTCTATTGTATGTCTGCACAGCAGCAGTAGTTTACGCATGCGTACATGCATCAAAGACCCTGCCGACAACTTACAATCTACTTTCGCTAAGAAATTTCCACAAAATCATTTTCAACGCCTTTGAGGGTAATTACACCATGCACGATGAGGTATTTAATAGCAGCTTATTCGCTGTCTAAGCGGTAATGAATTCGAGTGAGCCAGGTTGCCTTTAGCGTTTCTCTTCCTCCTGGGAGGAAATGAAAAATATACAAAATTCGCCATCCCTTTGCCAGATATTAATTAACTTAAGTTAGCTAATGCCGTTACAAGGGAATCCCAGCCTACGTCGTACAAGATAAGATGCAAAATTGAGTACAAGAATTATAGTAGCAGCACTATACTCGCATTTTACGAAGACGAAGCGATCCTTCCTCGCGTTTCGGTTAGACGATTATCCGTGATAATCTCGGACGAAATGAAATGCCCGCGAAGAAGGACGTTCATCTTCTCGTTCCCTCGTTTTCATATCTCCAAGCCCATGAATTAACGCCCTTTCATAATCGTTCAATCGAATTCAGCCACCGTCACATCGAGGGCACGCGGCAAAATTTCATACAACTATCGTACAAGAAATAGCAGCGTATCTTAAAAGACAAAATGCGTATAAAAATATAAGCTTCACCGTGGACTGGACCCGGATGCGCGGATCGTTCATGGAGGTAGCACGAACGAAATTTGTCGCAAGCAAACGTCGTTGTTCTTTCGATCGATCGATCGATCAACCAATCAGAAATCGGGGCGTGGGAATGTCAAGGGTTGCGATTGACCCTTTTTCGGAAACAAAATCTTTCGCATCTCGATCTTCCTGCCGATGTACTCGTTGATGCATCTTTGAGATGGCTTCCACCAAGAATCTGTGCGTCCAAAAGTCATGGTACCCTTCGAGTGCAACTATCCATGGCCTGGTCTAATAGCCTTGGTTAAAGTTTCCGCCGGGCAGATCGAAGCGCGGGACTCCCTCGTAAGATACTTGAGCGTTAAATCCATTCTTCCAGTCGGCTGTATAACGGACGATCTGCAAACGACCATCCGGCAATTGAACTCGATACTCTCCTCGAACAATGTCTCCGTCGCTGATAGCATTGTGGGAGTAGTCGTTCCCGAAGGCGTCCTCTTTTACGGCATAGTTGAAGTCAAAGGGCATGCCGGGCTCGTGATGATGATGATCGTGTGGCTGGAACAAACGGAACGATTACGTATTATTTCAAAGTTTCGCGACTACTTTCTCGATATCGATCCTCGGAGTTCCGCAGGAAACCGTCCTGGTGGCCGAAATTTTTGACAGGACCTTGGCTCCGCTCAATTGCCATAATTAGTCACGACATCGGCTCAAATAATTTCGGTGGAAACTGTACGGGAAAGGGTAGGAATGACTTTTGCGCATTGTTCCCAAAGGCCATGATAGGCCTATGGCGGTAATCACCGTAGCTGAAACAGAGACAATAATTGTACGTCTGTCGTCTGTTAATTTATCACCGTTCTGAGGATTAATTTATCGGCGCGCATCCTTGGGGTACATCCGTTGAGGCGCGTTTAACCGAATTGCGTTAAAATATTCCACGATCTTTGCATTTGCTTTGCGATTACTCAATTTCGGACGCAACGAGACGGGAGTTCTTTTTATAAGAGACGTAGTACATACTATGTAGGAAAATATCCGACTAATCGAAGCCGATCGGTGGGCGATGTTTTCCATTGAACTGGCATTAGCGTGCAATGCTCGCGATCAGCTCTCGGCTTTGAGAAGTGGCTGGTGCATCTCAAGTTTTCCTAAGCGTTTTAACCTGAATACTTCTCAGGTAACGTTACGTAAAAAGGACGACTCTTACACACGTCCACGCAGACGCAATTGAAACCGCAATAACAGTTGGATGCTGCGAAAGCAACGAGAACTGTAGTGAAATAGAGTTCACCGAGGAACATCGAGCAGCTAAAGTTCAAGTCGCTTGGCGTCGAGCTCTTTGACACTGGGAAGATATGTGATAGTTAGATCGCGGTAATGCGATTTGCCCACGGACTGACTTCTCCACTTATTCGGAACGACAAGAGATAACAGCTTTACGGCACTCGCGGCGTACGAGTCTCTCCCGATCGCTCCTTCGATAGTTGTGATCCTTCGGGACGAGTCATTAGGTGATTCCTTTTATTTTCAAAAATCGGAGGATTGGCTCCAGCGAGATTTCAGATACCGAGGCGTTAAAGGTTTACGGCGTTAACGTCGCGTGCGCCCTGATCGGTGACGATGGTTTCGATTATTTTATAAATATCATTGGAAAGGACTTTTTCCGACACTTGCCGTTATTGTTTCAAGGAAGTGGAGCTGGGCCGCGTTAACCGGGGAAATAATTAGAAATCAGTTTAGATGCTCGTTAAACGGCACAGCGCAAAGTCTGCCGGAGGCGTTGGAGGTGTAAAAAAAAAGGGAATCGTTGCGCCAAAGGAATCGACTCGAGCTCTCTGCGGCTATGTACATCTCCAATACGTTTTCGAATAATAACCGAGTATTAGTCTCGCCGAGCAGAAAATGCCGATCAGGAGGGTCCGTGCACGACTTAGGATTAACTCTAACCACCGATACTTCTAATTAAATGATGAGGCATCAACCCGATGCTGCCCTCGCACATTACAACGTCAGACATGCAACCGAAGAGGAGCCACTAACGGCATAATCGACTTGGCGTAGGTGAGCATCCGAATGCGTTAATACGTACTATTAGCGACTCGTCATCCGATCGGTACAATGCATTCTCCGTCACTCAATGCGTCATTTTGACAAATAATTTCTGTCCGTTAACGCGTTCGCTTATCTCGCGGGAGTACACCCTCGTAATAAGATCGGATGCACGCATGCGTGTTTTGGAAATTCAATGCCGTATCTTTATTTATTTTGTTTGTTCTAACTCGAGGTAACGATATTTTCGAAATCCAGTGCCTCGTGTAAAGAAATATTTGTAGAAATAATCACACCACTTTAGTCCAAGCTCTATACCGAGAAAAAGAATTCAATTGTCATAAATCCGGATAAACGTTGCATCTGATTTATTCGAGTTCATTCCAGTCAAATAATTACTCCGTAAATTATAGAAATATTTCTCTGGATGCAAGGAAATACTTCTCTGAAATTGTTGAATGAATCCTTTTTCTTTTTCTGAAGATAGACAGCAATATTTTCTAATTCGAGTGAACCGTGCGAATAAAATATTCGACTCGTCACTCCACCTTGGGCGAATACTTACGCCAGGGCCGATGGTGTTCCCATTGTGTCCGGTGGGCTGTCCAGGATAGTCCGGAAATCCGGGAGTGGGCCTGGGTCCGGGAGTGGGGTATCCTGTGGGGGGCCTGGGGGGGCCAGTCGGGAAGGTGGGAGTCGGCCTCGTGGGCCCCACCGGGAAGGTCGGAGTGGGACGTCCCGGGAATGTCGGCGTGGGACTCGGGAACGGCACCGGAGGCTTGTTGTACGTGTATCCTTTCGTGGGCTCAGGTGGTAGGTACGTATTGCGTCTCGTCCCTGGTGGCAAGTCGCAGAGAACGTTCCCCAGCAAGAGGGACAGCACCGCCACCTGGAAAAAGGGACGAAAGGGATCGAAACCTGGATATGAGCACCCTCCTTCAAAGCTATGCGCCATGACGGTCCATCCTTACAGCGACAAGGTGGCTACACGGCGCGTTATGCACGCCGTTTATGCACGCCGTTACGATTTTCTAAGGAAGAGCTCCCGACGTCCCGGCAACGCGGCGGAACGACTGCTGCAACTTTCCCATTACTTCTTTCATCCGATTAAAATGCAACGCGGGGGGGCAAGGGGGAATTTTCGGCTCGATCTCGATCGAGTCGACTTCACCTTATTGGATCGAGATGGATTTTTATATCAGAATGCAATTAGTTCCGCCGGGTCGGAAGAATTCGGCCGAGTTGACGGAGGCGATTGAATTTATTCCTTCCGAAGCGTGAAAATGACGTCTGGGAGAGGTCAATCGCCGTGAGATTGGATTGCTCTTGGTAGTACCGAAATAAAGGGAGTTTATCGAGCCTCGAACGGCTCGACAAGGAGAAAGAATCTTAGTCGAGTGTCGCAAGAGCTGCACCGGTGGAGACGCTGGGGCAACTGCTATTGATCTGCACGAGATCGCCGGATAGCTTTGCTACGCTGACCTCTCCAGGGTTCAACCAAGGATTCGTTCGCCACGGTGGATTAACTGGAACACCGAGAAAGATACGCATTCCTCCCGAATTCTCCACAGAGAGGGTCAAAATGGTACTAGACGTTGCCGACCCATTCTCTCCGGCGTCGGCGGCAGGAGTTAAGGAATTAAGCAAGAAGCGCCACCGAGGAAGATATCGAAAATGGAGTACGATAACGTGCAACGACCCCTGCTCTTTTTACTTTTCGGTAACTGCTTTTCAATTCCATCGGACAGAATGGGATTGAATTAGCTAATCGGCCGCATGGCACCGTTCCGTTGCATTAGCTCGCCTTCTGCCCGCAATTAAAAAATTCACTAGGTTCAAGTGCACTTCGATTAAGTCGGGGACTCTGGGTCGGTTTTGCAAGAGCATCGGTTTTGAGATATCCAACGACCGTTAGAGAGAAACGTAGACTTGGGTCGAGGTGGGGGACGTAATTATTTCTTGTACAGCGAGGTTTTTCATTATCTAATTTATGAATGGGTTGTTCCGTAGTTATATGCGTCATCGCTTAAATTACCGCGAGTCTCGTTCATTTTGCAATTTCCTGTTGGGGAACATGGGACGCGACATCGTGGGAGGAATTCGTCGCGACGACGTGACACGGTTCGCCAATAAACGCGATTCCGCTGGTCGAAGCTTTTAGGACGGCTCGATTACGTTTCTGACGACCGAGTTTATACTTTCCTGGATTTTTTCTGCCCGGCAGTTTTTTTTTCCCCTTTCGAATAACGCCGCGTTTCAAGGAGACGTCTAATAATCCCCGAGAGAAACGATCGCTTCTTTGCCCGTCTGTCCGCGTGACGGAAATCTTTCCGCGAGGCGCGTTGTTTATACGGCGGCTCGTTAATACGCGGATATTGTGCCTCGGGACTAGTAACCCTGAGTAATTATCAGCTGGAAAACTGGCGAGCAAAGAAACCTCCGTATGAATCAACGTTGCCGGGGACATGAATGGCCGTGCACCGAGAAGCTGCAGTTGGCGCGGGTGCAACAATGCATGTCTTGGTTGCACCTACACGCGCGATTGCGCAAGCCTGCGATTGTGCTGGTTCAGGAGTCACTGACCTATATATACCGAACTGCACAATATATATACATATATATCTTTCTTTAACCCTTCGTGCTCACACGTTAGGGTATCGGAAATTATGCACTGCCTGGTGCACTACAAGCTGTAGCATCCACAAATTTGCTCCGACCACTGTATATCTTGTTATTTACCCCCGTCGCGTTTCTCCACTCCGAATCATCGTTTTCTCTATAAATACGATTAATCGCGCGCGCAAATAGAATATTTGCCATTGTCGGGAATTCAGGATATGTATCCGGATGAACGAAACTCGATTTCCCGGGCCTCCGAAAATTTCTGCCGAGGCGAAATGAATTTCGGTGGCTTTGAAATTTGATAAATGACGAGTGGGAATTATTAACCGTAAATTTCGGGGAGACATGCCTAGGGACATCAATCGGGAATGTATTACCAGCAAGCAAATCCGATACTCGGTGCACGTACCCTGTGAAACGGTGATACTAATTGTAATCATCGCGCGCCTGTAACGCGCACAGGAGTCAAGTGAGTCCCATCGTTTCATCTCTAATCGCATATTAATCGTTCTGTTGCAACCGACGATAGAAATGTCCGATACGGCAAGTACATGACCGGTGCATTTCGATGGGATCATCGCGGCGTGGAAACGATGCCTCGCCCACTGGATGAAGATCCTATTCGGAACATTTTTATGGATTTACTTAGCACTTTTTGCTCGAACGTCCGATTTACTCCGATTCGGGCCCATTGTTTATCCGCGCTTCCAATCGGCTAAAAGGACGCGCTTCAAAAGTCAATCATGTATCCCCAACGAATGCAATTCACAGAGAAGGTAGCTCGAGGATGCAGCCCGCTCCTTGCGTACAGTACTTTAGAATTCTTCGGAATAGCGATTTCAAGCAACCACCTTTCATCAGGCAGTCCTCACGAGTCAAGATTCCAGGACGGCTCACTGCGACGTGACCTATGATTTGCTCCATGGAGCCACTCGCGCGCGACATATTCGACAACAAGTAACGCCGGGGAACCCACTCGTCCAGGAACATTTTTGCATTTTATTTTCCTCCCCCCTAGTTCCGGATCGCTTTACGTGCCGGAAGAGCGGAGCACTTAAGCGGGAATTCTTGGAGACGAAAAATGAGCACGTCATCGACTCGTACAATATTTTACTCGACGGTAGTTTCGAGACAACAGCTGCGAGGCGTCCATCCTCACCGTCACCGATTTACCCGAGAGGCTATTCACTCGGAAATCACTGAAAACGATTTCCTTCTTTGAGAGCCGATTGCTTTTCAGTTCATATGACAAACGACAACGCGATTCGGTAACTAGGGACGCTCGGTCTTAAAATCCTGACAGTGTTTCGGCGATTCCCAACGATTTCCAGGGTTTACCCTGGTACCACTTTCCTTTAACGAGCCCGAAACTAAAAATGAAGAGCAATGACAATTCGATCGGTGAAAGTGGACGTCGTATCTTTCACTCGTCGCGAGTACTCGATGCACTTTTCGGGAAGGACTCGGTAGACCGATTTTTTTCAGGGTTTTTCGGGGGCACAGGGTGGAGTAGCGGCTTAGGTATCAACGTACCTGCACCGGAAGAAAATCGACGGGAGTCATTTCGATGCCAGGACTCGCTCGGTACGATTTGGTCGCACCTCGGGGCGTTTCGCCTCCTCGTTAGGGGGTGGCTCCACTTGGGGAAGAATGTGCGCGCGTTACCGGGGAGGGTGGCCTGTCGGTAGGGAACTTTGCACGTAATATGAATATGCATGTACCGGCCCGGCAGTTGGTACAGTCGGTACGTAACTGCTCACCATCCCGCCTTGTTGTGTTTATATAGCACAAGCCTAATAAGACGATCCTTCGGTACGCAGGGGAGAGAAGAGCGGCGTACGGAAGAGGGGCTACTATGCTCCCTTGCCTTGCTCACCTGACTTACCTTACTCACCTGAGCTGGCTCTCCTGCCTCACCTTGCGCACACCTAACTCACCTTCCTTACCGTGCTTACCGTCGCTCTTTGACGCTTCGAGGCTGAGGTCGGCTTAGGAGGTCCTCGAAAGACCCAACGAACGATGCTACGAGCACTCGTCGATTATGTAGATCCTCCTGAGACCGTAAACCCGAAATGGCTTACTCGAAGAGTACCAAAGAACTCGCACGAAACTCACGGTGCCTTGTATGGGGAATTTTTCTACTTCTAGGGACTTCTTCTCGAAGACTCGATTTACGGGACTCGATTCTCGTTGTTGTCTCGAATCGATCCCAGAGACGCGGCCGTAACGCCGACTTCGGGACTGAATTATTCCGAGCCGATGTCGAGGGCAGATATTTACTGTCAAAATATGAGAAGTCAGAAAGTTTGAGCTCCTCCTGGCATAGAAGTTTCGGCGCAAACGCGGTCGGACTCTTGGACGTACTTTTATTTCATCCGTACACAACCGACACCGAAGCCGGAAAGTTTCCTTCTTATTCTTGACTCTACTTTTCCTTCCAGCCGCGGTCTCGTTACGTGTGATTTATGAAGATTGACCTAAACCCGTAAACTGCTGAAAAGTGATATGTCGGTCTTGGAGCTACCGGTTTGCGAGTGGAAAGCGGAACTCGGTATTTTGCATAGTCACAGAGGGACGTTAAGCTGCGTGGATTTCATTTTATGTGCTTATCGAACAAATCCGAACCGGCATTTCAGTTTCATCTTCAACTTTGGTTAAAGATGTTGCAGCAAAAATGGGACAATTAAATTCGGAGTGCATTCCCTAGAAGATGGCTATTCTTGAGGATAATGGGTTTGGGACGTGCGATCGCGGTGGTCCGATAGTAAGTCACCGTTCTCTCTTAAGTAGACTTCCGATCTCGATACGGTTTGTCGATGGATATCGGCATCACGGCTGAAAAGCTTTATCGCCGAAACGTCGGCGAACGGAGATACTTCCACCGATATTCATCGACTGTCGGATGCGCGGTAGTTGGAGCTCCTCCTGATTTCCGATCCCGCGTCTCGATTTTATGGAGCTGCATCTTCCCGTACGTTCCATTATAAATTCCATTTCGATAATTAGCCCGCCCACGTTAGAGACTTGAGTGCCGCCCGTCGAAATGCAGGAATTCCTTGGCCAGATTCTTGGAGGGTAAAGTCCGCGACCTACGTCCACCGTTCCCAGGTTGGTTGCCAGGCATTGTTCTCGTCGCTTTCTGCGCAGTATGACTCTCGCAAAGAGCGAACGATGAACGAAAGACTCGGATCCCTGGATGCGGTTTCGAAAAGATCAAAATCGGAGCCCCGATCCACGAGGAGCGCCAAATCCGATTCCGATAAGCGCTTACATTGAAAAAAAAAAAAAAAGAATCGTCATTGACCCAGAGGAATATTTTATCAATTAAAAGAATAATTTATCTGACTAAAATAAAATCCAACAAATCGGATGCGACATACTTATTCCAGTCAAATAATTATCCTTTGAATTAAAAATACATTTCTCGCGAAATACCATCGAAAGAGCATGGGGAACCAGCAGGACGAAGGATCGAGTCCTCGAAGTCAAAATCGGCGAGACTCCTTCTCAAGCTTCCTTGAAATAATTAATCGATCCTCTGGCACTCTGGCCAGCCGGGTCGACGGCATTGTCGACTCAACGATACTCTCGACAAGGTCAATATTGTGCCTCGCACTTTCCTCCGATCGTTCTTGCCCGTTTTTGCGATCGGTGGCATCGCCAATCACGGGGTCGCCAATATTTGCCAATCTAAGGATCGGCGGGCTACGGTTTGGAGGAGCGCGACGCGATGCGATGCGCCGATACCGAACTGGGTATTGCGCTCGAACGTGCTGACATTTGCCATGGTAGTACCTTTCGGTCGCGTTAGGGCATTTGGTTATGGTCGTTGCACCGAGAGACTGGCGAGAATCGAGCCGAGAGGGAGGGTACCTAATCGCGATGAAACAGAGTCGATCCGGCGTTGAGGATCCCGACTTGAAATTCCGCGATTACGCGATTATCCCTGAAATCGCGCGTTGAACGTCGGCCACGGTCCCTCCTCTTGCTAGAAGAGAGAAAAGATTTCCTCGAGGTTGCAGGGGAAGAGGAGGATGCGACGCCGGGTCGATCGGTATAACGCGATCGATCGAATCTCGCCTCGCGTCCGCGGTCGACCTCGGAATCGGGTCGAATTATGACACGCCGATCGAATCGCCCGGAGTCATCGAGAGGGAACGCCGTAGTTTCGTACAACTCGGTTGCTCAATCGGGATTAACCGCGACGATCCTCGTTTTCGACCCGACACCCTCGAGAGTGGCCCGAGGTTTCCGACAGTCGAAAAGGAGAGTCCGTTCCTCATCGACGCTTGCGATACCGACGTTAACAGCACATTGTGTACGGCCTATCTTACGAAGTCCACCGTCCGTGTATCCACTTTTCCCGACAATAGGTGTCCCGTGTCCGTGAGTCCTTCCGATGCATCTACCAATTGGCATTCCTTTCTTCTTTCGACCTAAAATACGAAGGAGGGAGATTATACCCGGCGAACGCATAAGCCAGGTTGCATCAGGGACTAATGGGAGTAGTAATGGGTCCGCAAGGGTGTTGGGCTCAGGTTCGAGTAACCTTGGCTCGTAGAATGCCGCCGGTAACCCGAGAATACTCCCGGCAGAATCGACGTTCACTTTGAACTCGCTCCGGCCCGTTCTACTCCGGCGTCTCTTGAACGAAATCGAGCATCCGCCGTGTCTCGTTAGGACCTTAGGGAGAAAATGGCTGCCGCACCTTTTTCCAACTCTTTTCTCCGGCGGAGAACATTTTGCCGTTCGATGGCTCGTTGCCACCGGGGTCGGAGGTCGAATGTGGAACGGCGAATTCGCACGCGCCTTGAATCCTAGGGAAGGTTAGGAGGATCGGGTCTTCTTTCGAAGCAGTGCGTCACGGTTAGTTGCCTACTGGCTTTGTCCGATGCGCTCGTGGGTAGACATTCCCTCGGCCAAGATGAAAGTGAAAACTCGGTTCTGGTCGCAGATGACCTACTGCCTGCCGGGAATCTAGGTGCTCCGCTGCAGCGACGCCAAGCCAAGAGCGTGGCGCCATCGCGCGCAATCGGCCCGGTCGAAAACGACTTTTTTTCAAATTTTTCCAAAATGCCGGAACAAAATTGGGAAAATGTCCAACCTAATTAATTTCATTTCCTCCGCCGACGCTTCTCATCCCGGCAGAGGGTTCGCCTTTGGAAGCGTTCGCCACTCGGGTGTCCGTGCAGGACTATTTTTTTCTCTCTCACGTTTCAATATCGTGACGTCCTCGAGAGGCCGATTTTCGCATCGATAGGTCGCATGGGAAATGCTCATTATTCGTTTCCTATCCTCGGCCGGTATTGTGCCACGTGCAGCGGCATTTCGTAAGAATATTAAACGCTGGAGTCTCCTCGGAAACGAGAACGCTTTGCGCCACGATGCGAGGAAACCGGCGGAACGCATCTCGGGCGAGGAATTCGCAATTCGCGATTCGCTATTCGGAATAGGGCGATATCGATCGCGCATGATAATTAGTTTTCGGATGAAGGGGTCCGATGGCGCAAGGCGTGTTTTCGCGGCTTCGTTGGCCCCGCCGTTGTGCGTTAAGGCCATTTACTCCCCGACTCGCCCAACGTGGAATTCTTCCGAGATTTATGATAATAGGTCTACACAATGCCCGAGCTCTCCCACCGCCTTTCCCTCCGCCGAGCGAATCTCCTTTAAGATGATGGATCGTGGTCTTAATATTCGGCCATCTTTGGATTAATGCCTAACTGCTGTTTAGGGATCGCTTAGAGGTCCTGCTCGGTGAAGAAGCGGCGAAGCGCTCCTCTTTTTTCGCGACGTTGATTTGCACAATATAGCGGCCTTGAGGTGCTTATTATATAATTTAATTAACGAAAAGGAAGTGTATCAAAAAAATGTCTTCTGGAAGAAGGCCGCGAAGAACCATTCCTCTCCGCAATGTTGCAACGCGCGAGGACGTAGGGAACGATTTGCACAATATGGCGGCCTTGAGGAGCTCGTTTTCGAGTAATTCGGAAAGGAAGTGCATGAAATAAATTTCTGCCCATCAACGCGACCATCGGAACATGGTTCGAGGACGCGATGGAATTACAAGGAATTTCGGCCGAATTATCGACGCTCTAATGACGGCAGATGCACTCGCGATGCACGGCAATGGCTGCGAGCCACGCGCTTATTGTCACCCGATCGCGTAGGCTCGTTTTACGAGCATAATGGGTATAATACACGAAATAGCGATTTCGCGTACAATGGCGAGCGCTGCGGACAAAATGTGGATAAAGCGGAAGGCGACGAGGTATCGAGTAGGTACCGACAATTCCGGGACGCGCTGCGGCATTTTCACGTGAATCCGTTTGAGGAATTTCGTCTGGCACCGACGAGCTCCTCTTCGAGCATCCGAGTCGAAACTATCGATCTCCCTTGAACCTCCAAATCCTCTATTTTTTTCATCACCTGGTCGCCGCGAAGAATTTCACCCCCACTAATTGTAAGACCGAAATATCTGAATCCACCAAGGTACCCCAAGATTCAATTTGCTGGCTAAAACCACCGCATCCACAAAAAGTAGAATCCCAGATATCTAAAACAGGACATTCCTATTCATATTCATAATTTATATAAAACTATTCCAGGAGTCAATGAATATTATATAATGAATATCCGATAATTCAGGTTCCCGAGGTTGA